TCTTATCCCTCTTCCTCGACTGGGCCTTGGAACGGCGCATTTCTCTAGGCTTTTATGCGCTAAGATCCTCCTTTAAAAGCGGTAATTCGTGCGTGTTGGGGGCGTGGGCGCGGAGGGCGTGATGGCGCTCTCTCATTGATTCGCATTTTTGTCGGGTTTTTGTTTTTGTGTTTTGTGTTGTCTTTTTTTTACGTAATCGTGTGTGTTTTCTTTTGTGTTCGTTATTGTAATTGGGTGTCGTTGTCGGGGGTCTAATTTGGGTAGTTGCGCTGTCGCGGTTGGGTGATGGGCGTGGTGTGTTTTCTTTTTCTTACTAGGGCATTTATTGGTATTGTTGCTGTTTTGGTTTGCTGCACACGCACGCATGCACACGCAAACGCAAAACACACGCAAAACGCACGTACATATCCACACTTGCTCATATTCACACTTGCACATATTCACACTTGCACACACACACACACTTGCACAGACACACACACAGACACACTTGCACACAGACACACTTTCACACAACCACACACACACACACACACACACACACAACACACACACACACACACACACACACACACACACACACACACACACACACACACACACACACACACACACACACACACACACATGCATATGCATAATATGCATGTGTGTATGTGTTGTTATGTATGTGTATGTATGTGTGTGTGTGGTGTTGTGGTGTGTGTGTGTGTGTGTGTGTGTGTGTGTGTGTGTGTGTGTGTGTGTGTGTGTGTATGTATGTATATATGTATATGTATATATGTGTGTATATATATATATATATATATATATTATATATATATATATATATATATATATAATATATTACATACATATACATATATTTGTGTGTGTGTTGTATGTATAGATAGATATGTAAAGACGTAAATAGATAGATAGATAGATAGATAGATATACTGTATTTTTGTGTGTGTGTGTGTAAGTTTGTATGTATGTATGTATGTGCATATGTATGTGTATTCATGTGATGTAGCGTTTTCATGCTCTTTATTGTGATTATATTATAATTTCCTATTCCACTTCTCACTAATATCTCGAATGACATTATTCACCCCTTATGCGAGAACCACAGCGGACCAAAGTACAGCTGAAAGAAGGAGTGAAGGAAGGGAACAATCGGAAGGGAAGGACTTGTAGGAACCATAAACTGATACACTGTATTGCAAGAAGACACGGGAGGCGCCGTTTGCACCTGCTTGCACACACGCCCCCCCCTCCTCCCTCTCCTCCTCCCTCACTTCGCTTCCCGTTCTTTTCTTCCTCAATTTTTCTCTGCTCTCTCTCCTCTCTCTCTCTTCTTCTCTCTCTCACGTCTCTGTTTGTTTTATCGTAATCTTCTTTTTGCTGATTTTCCCCTCTCTCACCCTCCCTTTTTAAAGACTCCTTTCCTCTCTTAATTCCTTCTTTTCCTCCTCCTCTCTCTTTACCCCCTCTTCCTCTTTTTCCTCCTCCTTCCCTCCCGCCTCCTCGCTCCTCTCTGCTCTTTACCATCTCATTTTCATCTTCCTGTTTTTTCCCTCTTCCTCTTCCCTCTTTCTGTTCTTCGTTATTCCTTTGCTCTAGGTAGAGGGAGCTTCCGGGAGTTGCGGCATAACTCCTACAGGCACGGGATTAGGAGGGGAGGGGGGGGGCAGGATAGGGTAGGGATGGGGTTGGGGGGGAAGGATAGAGGGAGGGTAGGGATAGAAGAGGGTGGAGGTAGGGGTAGGTGGATGGTCTGGGAGGGGGATGGGGAGGGGGGGAGGAGAGGCAAGAGGAGGAGGAGGAGGAGGAGGTCGTGCTTTAGTCGTGTTAATAAATATCCGCAAACACGGCTAGATTTGGGGTTGGTTTATGGGAGTTTGTGTGCGGGTATGTTGGTTCGAGTGGTGCATGGGGCCCCCCTTTTTTTTTCTTAGTCTTCTTTTCTTATCTTAGTATGTGTAGTTTTGCTCTTTGTTTTTTAATTTTATTTACGCTGCACGCTGTATTTTCCTTAAGAGCGGCAAGTTTAGATCATTGAGGAAATATAAGGAAAGAAGGACACACTCCATGTCCTGCAGGAAAGGAACGATAAATGGGTAACTGAAATAATGTGAAGGAAGAAAACGAGAAATTGAATTATGCTCATTGATTGGTCAGTTGGCCTTCGCGGTATGGAACTCTGAGAGAGAGAGAGAGAGAGAGAGAGAGAGAGAGAGAGAGAGAGAGAGAGAGAGAGAGAGAGAGAGAGAGGAGAGAGAGAGAGAGAGAGAGAGAGAGAGAGAGAGAGAGGAGAGGAAGCAGAAAGAAGAGAGGAGCAGAAGAGAGGGTGAGGGAGGACGAGAGAGAGAGAAAGAGATAGAGAAGAAAGAGAGATGAGAGGAGGGGGGTGGCAAGAAAGAGAGAGAGAGCAGAAGAGAGGGTGAGGAGGACGGAGAGAGAGAGAGAGAGAGAGAGAAAGAGAAGAGAAGAGAGAGAGAGGAGGGGATGCCAAGAAAGAGAGAGAGAGCAGAAGAGAGGGTGAGGGAGAATGAAAGAGAGAGAGATAGAAATTAAAGTGGATTTAATGTGCAATTACCTAGCAGTTGCAATGGCTGGCACTGATCATATTAGTAAGCGTGAATAAGTTCAAAATGCTCCTGTTTAAAAGCACAGTCATTTTAAAGAGCCTCACATTTGAAGAATTAAAGCGACATTAGTTGGCGTGATACGAGCTAGAAGCCTTATTAAATCAGAGCCCGAGTTCAGAATAATTGCTGTGTTCTAATTTTTTTCGAGTGCCTCGTCTTTCTTCTTGCACACCGCCGCGCCTTGGTTTTTGCTCCCGGCACTCCGCCACCACTATAACCACCGCATAATCACCATCATCATTCCATCACCATAACGACGAGCAGAAATCCCCCGATTTTTTTTTTCATTTTTCTTTTTTTGTGTGTCTTTTTTTTTCTTTCTTTTACTGTTGTTAATCTATGAGGCGAAGGAAGGGAGTCGGAGGGAGAGTTTTGTTACATAATATGCGTCTGTCTGTATGTGCTTTGGAGAGCCTCTCTAGTTTCTTCCTCCTCGTCTGTGAGTCATGAGATTCTTTCATTCCTTTTGCGTGTTTGCACTCTCTCTCTCTCTCTCTCTCTCTCTCTCTCTCTCTCTCTCTCTCTCTCTCTCTCTCTCTCTCTCTCTCTCTCTCTCTCTCTCTCTCTCTCTCTTTCTCTCTCATTATCTCTGCTATCCGTCTTCTCTTCCCATTTCCCCCATCCCCTCCCCTGTTCTCCACTCCCTCCCTTCCCCTTCCCTGCTTCTCTGTCTCTCCTTCCCCTTCTCCCTCTTCTCCCTCTCCTCCACCTTATTCTCCTCTTCGTCCTCCTCCTGCACCTCATCCTCCTCTCTTCTTTCTTCGTCACCCCCCTCCCTTCCGATTCCCTCCTTCCATTACGCGCCTCATTTCTTGATATTGTAGGGTTTAGCGGGGGGGGGGGTATGTGGAAGTTCAGATGTAGATTGAGATACACGCAGAGGTCGTTAGGTTGATATATCAGCGGTAGGACAGTGCAGGAGGCGGCCTTCCCGACGCTGCACTGTAACTCCCGTGGTCTGGGAGTTGTTTATATGCAGTGCTGTCGGTGCACCATAGCGTGAAGAAGAGGGGGGGGGGGGTCTGGGGAGTGTCTGTGGAGGGTGGGGTTGGGGGGCTCGCGATGGCGCCGATGTCGATGCTTATGGTTTGGGGGCGGGGGAGGGAGGGAGAGAAGCGAAGGGCGTGGGCGAGGAAAGGAGATTAGAAGAAAGCGGTGAATGGAGAAGATAAGATAAAAACGAAGAGATGGTCAGAGAGGAAAAGCAAAAAAAAAAAAAAAAAAAAAAAGACGGATAAAAAAAGGAACGCGAAAGAGAAAACGGGAAAATCGACTCGAGAGAAAACGGATCGGAAAAGCAGCAAGCCAGGGTAATGCAAGAGCGGGCTTAAAGAAAACGGCAATGATTCGGAGCAAAAAGATACAGAGTGTAGTTATGATAGCGGGACGAAGGCAGGGCAAGTGGCTTTCTCGAAGGATCGTCGAGTTGATCCCCGAGACCAGGGGGGTAGGGAGGGAAGGGGGAGGGGAGGGGGCGAGGAGGAAAGGCAGTGCTGCAGATGGTCGCCATAGATGGAGAGAGGGAGGAGGGGAAGGGGTGGGGGAAGGGGAGATGGCGGACATTGGGAGAAGTTGGGCAATTCTTGGGGCGTGCAGGAAATGCCTGAAGTTCTAGAGATATTGCAGTCTCAAGACACGGGGCCGACGAGTAGCCAAGTATGAGATGGTTCGGCAAATCGCAACGAGGAAGCTCCCTGGCTAGGGGCAACGAACGTAAACATTCGATTGTTTTTTTGGAACTTTGTAATTATAGAAATATGTCTGATCTCGTGATGATGAAGCTTTTAAAATGATTATCAATACTGATATCAAATTGATTATTGTTCTTCATTCGTCTGTTGAAAGCTGATTCGGCATTTCCGTATAGATTTTTTGATTATTTCGATTTGAATATTGATGTGTGCATATCCCAGAGCGGCGACACAGGAACATAAATTGGCAGGAACACATTGATAGAACCATATTATAGAAATATAGTCTAATATTTTTTTTTTTCACGACAAGCTCTGTTTTATAATTGCGAGAAGTAATTTTTATTCATTACGTCGACACGAGGGAGAACAACGAGTCGGAGGACAACTTAGAAAGATTTATTGCAGCACGAAGGAAGCTCTCATGCAGCAGTAGCAGTAACAGCAACAGCAGCAGTGTTGTTGCAGTTGTATTAGCAGCATTAGTCGTAGCCGCAGCGCGTGCGGGGATGTGAATTTTTATCTCCCACATTCTCCCAACTGCTGTCAAACACTCGCGGTTTATTACCAGTGCAGAGCCGGGAACTTATTTCTGTCTTCTCCCTTTCTCATGCTCATTCTCGGGCTTTCTATTCTGTTTACCTTTGCACTCAACTTGTTATTTTCCTTTTTATCTGTTTCTCATTCCCACTATACTAACTTTCTTCTAGTAAATTCCTCTCCCTCCCTCCCTTTACCTCCTCACCCTCCGTCCTCCTCTCTTTACCTCCTACCTCTCTACCTTTTTTTTCTCTCACTCTCTACCTTCTTTACCTCCCTTTCTTCATATACCCAGAAACTTCCCTCTTCTCTCTCTCTCTCTCTCTTCTCTCTCTCTCTCTCTCCTCTCTCTCCTCTCTCTTCTCTCTCTCTCTCTCTCTCTCTCTCTCTCTCCTCTCTCCTCTCTCCTCTCCCTCTCCCTCTCCCTCTCTCTCCTCCCTCCTTCCTCCTTCACTTCAATCTCTCTCGCTTTATCTATCTATCTATATCTCTCTCCTCCTCTCCCTCCCTCCTCCTCTCCCCTTCCTCTCCTTCTTCTTCCGTCCCTCCCTTTCCCCCTTCCCCTCCTTCCTGTCTCCCCTGTCTCTCTCTCCCCTCGTTCTCCCCCAACTTCTGTCTTTCTTTAACGAATATTCATATGAGACAGAGACTGATCCTGGCCGAGTTTTTTCCCCAATCTATTTGACGAGATTCTCTGATTTAAATTCGGGATTCCATTTGACTGTGTTAATGAGAACGATTTTATCAGGTCCCGGGGAAAGACGATCTCGGCTCTGCAGCGAATATTGGGTTCAGAATGATTCGATCATACGACCGGCTTTAGATAGTTTTTTTTTCTTTTTTAACTTAGTGAGATATGCCATTTCAAACGATCGATTTTCTTTCGTGTGCTTTTCTTTAGTATGCTTGTTTTCTTTGAGCCATCTTTAGGTGTATAATTCGATTATTGTATCGTTTTCTCATGTTTTGTAGATGCTACTGTATGTGTTTTTTCACTCCTATTTGTTTCTATTTTTTTATTTTATTTTTTTGTATTTTGCATATCAGAAATCTGGTGTTCTGAAAATATGTAATAGTTTACCTCACAGATTCCCATTTTCTGTTGTTGGGTGTATAAGATCGTTTTCTTTCTTAAGCGGTGATGGGTAACTTATGTATTTATAGCTCCGGCACAGTCTTTCCTTTTTATATTTTTTTCGAGTAGCATCGCAGCTAACATAATCTGTAATTATGAAGAGGTCCGCTAATTATGGACTGACCATACCGATGTACATTTTGTGTGAGGTTTGTGTTTTCGGTCAACTAAGCCATTGTCCCATTGTTTTCTCTCTCTATTTTTTTTTATTTTCTTTTTTATAGTATTTAATTAAATCCATCCCTTTCCCATCAACCTTTTTTTCCTTCTGCTTTGTATTTCTTCCTTTGCATCTCCCATATCCTCAAGCCCCTCCCGCCTCTTTCATTATTTCCCCCTCCATATTCTTTCTCCTCCTCTTTCTCCATCTCCTTCGCTTCACTTTTCTTTTCAAAATTGCATTCCACCTCCTTCTCTGTATATTTCTTCATCTCGGTCTTTATTTTTACTCTCGTCTTCTCTCTCGTTTCTCTACTGCCTGCTCTTCATCTTCCTCCTACTCATCTCTTTTCACTTGTTCTCCTTGTTTTCTCCTTCCTCGTTCCCATTATCCCTCCTTGATCTTCCTATTCCTTCTGTTTCCCCAAAGTTCCACTCAACTTACTCCATCACTTCTAACACCATGACACCGTCTTCCTCCAACCACCACCTCTTCCTTATTCTTCTACTTCTTTTTCTTTTCTTCTTCTTTCCTTTTTTTCTTTTTCTTTTCTTCTTCTTGTTTTCCCTCTCCCTCTCTCCTTTTTTCTTCTTTTTTTCTTCCCTCCTCCTCCTCCTTCCCATTCACATTCTCCTCCTATTTCTCTTTCTTCTCCTTCCCCGTCCAGATCTTCCTCATCGTGGTTATCCGCCTTTCCTTATACTTCCCGTTCTTCTCCTTCTTCATCCACATCGTCGTCGTCGTCGTCGTCGCTTCATCCTCTTCCTTCTTCACCCACCACCACCTCCTCCTCCCCCCCTCGACCTCCTCTTCCTCTTCTCCTTCCTCTCCTCCTCCCCTCCTCCTCCTCTCTCTCTTCCTCTCTCCTCTCTCTCCTCTCTCTCTTCCTCTCTCCTCCTCTCTCCTCTCTCTCTTCCTCTCCCTCCTCCCCCTCCCCTCCCCCTCCTCCTCGACCTCCTCTTTCTCCTCCTTCATCTCTCGATTTTCCTCTCCCTCTCCTTCCTCGCCCCCTTCGCCCTCAAAATTCTTTTCACTCTCTTCCTTCTCCATCACTCACACCTCCAATTTCTCTTCTCCCTCACTCCTTCGCCCCGCAATTCGTCCTCTCCCTCTCCTCCCTCACTCCTTCAATCTCCAATTTCTCTTCTCATCCTCCTTCACTCATCGCCCTTCATTTTTCCTCCCCCCTCCTTCGCACTCCATTTTTCTCTTTCTCACCCCTTCGCCCTCAATTTTCCTCCTCCTCTTCTCCCTTCCTTCGCCTTCAATTTTTCTTTCCCTCTCCTTCTCCCTCATTCCCGCCTCCTATTTTCCCTCTCCCCCTCCTTCGCTTTTTCCCTC